AGCAGCTTAAACTCCATAGACTTGCAAAGACACCAAAGATTGCAAAGAGATCCATGTCGCTCAATTTCAATTGATGTATCAATATTTTTCACAGAAATACCTTAAAGCTTTGCCTGCTATTTTCCTGTGCAATTTCCACGTAGGCGAATAGGTTGTGAATGCAATGTCCTTTCCACCCTCAGTAAATACCTCAACTACATTTTCAAAATTGAACATATTAGCTAAATTGTATTCTTACATGCTGTTTGTAATATTTTTTGACAATAGTTATAATGCAGAGGAACACTTATTGTACTTGAATTGATTTTCGGTCTCCCAGCAAAATCTGCTTTCTTTTTCACCATTGCCTCCAGTGTAACGTCAATATTATTCAGAACAATCCACATCTTTGGGCCTTTTAGGTTTGGAAAAAAGTTAAAGGTGCATTATGATTTTGAATATAATTAAACAGCTTTTTGCCATTCTTATCAGGGATTTAAAACAATATTGGGTAGAAACTTAAATTCAGTCTTGAAAATATGGTTTAAAGAAGATATAATTAGAAAGAAGAACACGAATAAATTCGCCATAATTTTCTGTAATTTCCTAACACATTTGATTTTGTCTTCATGGGATTTCGTCTTTGATTCCATGATTTTTTTTTAAATGTTAATGTATAATGTCAATAGAACATCAGCGAGAAAAATCACAAATAAAGAAGAAGATGGCTCTTTACTAAGGCTAAGAAACATAAATCCATATATAAATAAAGTTACCAATTTGAATTATATTTTTTTTAAGCTTTTAAGATTTTTAAAGGATATTTTTTACTGTCAGTCAGTTCTGTATATAATAACCATAGTATAATAATGACACTTACCAAATGAGATTCGTACAACTGGACCATATTTCTTAGAAAGTTCTGCAATCTTCTTATGAATTTCAACTGAGGCGTAAACTGAAAGCAATAAATTTTAAGAAAATCTTCTTTTAAAAAATGACTGGCTTTTGATATTCTTTTTACTTTTGAGACTTCATTGTTATTATTAATGCCAGCAAAATGAATTCAGTAATTAATGACGCGCCAAAATTGGAAATGTGTGTCTTATTGATATTGATAAATAAATTAATGTAAAATATAATGTACATTAAGAATCCTTTTTATAAATATATCGCAATTATAACTTAATTGAACAATTGTTTAAACAATTTATAAAATAAATTTCGAAAACACAACACAGGAACCATTTTGGACATTAATGATTTAAATTAAAAGAATTTTTTAAATATTCTTACTTTTATAATGCCCAACAAGTGGTATGCACCAGGGACCTGGTGGCAGACGATACCGCATGCGTTTGATGACGTAATACACCAGGTAACCAATGGTAAGTCCCGTCAAAATGGTTTGTACATTGAGAGATAAGTACACCATGATGGTAAGTTGATGTTTTCGTCTATTTTCCTCTCTACAAGAAATTTTGAGAATGAATTCATCATCAACTTTTCATTTTCTACATTTTTGAATGTCAAAAATGCTTTTTTGTTATGATAATGTTTGCATTTTTTGGTTATGTATTTACATGATTTAATTTTATTTCAATCACAAAGAAGCTGATGTAGATCTTCAAATCTTTTTTTTCTATTCATTTGTGTTTGTGGCCATACATGTCAATGGTCTCTTGCTACAGTGTTGTAAGCATGATACCATTTGTGTTTTAACGATCTTATTTCAAAGGTCTTATGTGAAGAGACATACTATTGACAATATTGAGGTGTTATACAAGGATTTCTACAGATTTGTTTAGAGTCAGTATTTGCAATTTCTTTAAAACTGATGGATACAATGACATTCTTTGCAAATACATTCTGTCTTCACACGTCTTATGTTAACTAATGTTTTTCATACATTTTAGGCCATTATTTTCACATGGAATTTTTAAAAGATTTTTTCCTTTACTTTATTATTTCGATGCGATTTTTGATTAGAAACATGTAGATGAAGTAGTAATTTAAATGATAAAAAAAAATTACCCCCCCCCCCCCCGGTATATAAATAAATAACTATCAATAATCATTAAAAAGAAGGACCTGTCCACAAGCATGCATTATTGTGATAAGTCTAACCCAGCTGAGCTTCCATAATAAGATTCATATATTGCGCAATATATGAATAAACATAAACAACACTTACCAGAACAGACTACAGTGTAATACAAAACACCGCACAGAATGAAAACCTGCACAAATGTTTGCGATGTAGTCAAATGTAAATTACGCTCCTAGGTCTTAATGTAGGTCACATTAAATGGATTAAACGGCCTTAAACACAAATTCACAGATTGTACAGGTTTATCTACTTCCGTAAAAGCTGACCCTCTTGATTATGGAAAGACAACAAGTTCAAAATTCTGTAACTCGATCCTTCCAATACAAATGTAAATTTAATTTGTAAATTGTACAATTTTCTACAAATATTATGCATCTTATACTTTCAAATTCTATACAATATGCTTAAATGTTGCATATATATTTAGATTATAGATTAATTAAGAGGCTAAATGTTATAGTTGACAGTGCATCATATATATTCTATATGCTCTTATATACCTTTAAAAAATTTTCCTATATAAATCAATACTATGTATAACATTATTTTCCTTTTTTTTTTTTCCGTCATCCAAAATCTAATTCGACATGTTCAACCAGGGAATGATAGTATACTGAACCACTTACATTAAGCAATCGCAGAGTACGTGGTTTTTTCCATCACAATATGCATATATGTCAGGAGATAATTTGAAATAAGTAAATAAAAGGTATAACAAAAACATTTGACTATAAATGCGGCAGCCTGACAATATACTTTAATTTTGGTTGCTATAACATCATCATTTGAATTGGATAACAGACTGAAACTAAATTGTATAACCTGGTTTGCCTACGTCACAATGACTTACAAGTTTCATGGAGGGTGGGTACGTATCATTTTGTGAGCTCAGTGTTCACAGTTGGACGAACAACTAGACGGACAAACAAACAGACGGACATCCCAATCACAACATACATGACATAACCCCCTGCTTTTCAAGCGGGGACATAACAATCATTTCCTCTCACTTAGAAAAATGTTTATTTGACAAATAATAGAAGAAGTTGCTATCTTTCACTAATTAACAACTTTCAATTGCCCAATGATAATGACAACATACTGAGTACTACATTTGACCTCCTCTGAATAAACAACCAGACGATGGGTTGTATATTTGACTGACATGTTAGACTGCGAATAAATCCATTTACCTTCTCAATACAAAGAGTATCTTGTCGACAGGGATGCTTCCTCCTCCTGGGCACCTGATCTCAGTTTTGAGGTTTCAAGGTATCCGTTCCTCTGTTTACAGTTTGTATTGTGTAAGAAAGGATTTGCAAATTCGGTCACTGCCTGTTTTCTTTACCTTTTTTACATTCGTGTTTGTTGTTACATAATCAATGCTTGATCGGATGTGGGTTTTTTTTACATACATGTTTATAATAAAAAATTTTCAGACGGCAACAAGTATAAATAAATGTAACATGTTAACTTGTTAGCTTCAACAATGTAGATCTTGCATCATGTTAATCCCTTGAGGGAACTAAGGATTTGCCTTGTATATATACCTTATAAAACGAGTAATAAACCGTTCTGTATATGTAAAAGTGTTATTAATATTAATAAATATATAAGGAAATATACATACCATACTAATTACTAAGCATGGTCAAAATTTTGCTTTCTGTCGCCTTTCTTCTACTCTCCGTGAGATACATCTGTCCGCAGATTCCTGAACAATCCGGCTCCGAACTACCGGTTCTCGGACTTCTGGGTGCTGTGGGGTTTATCGGTAAGTGTTGAATAACTTTCATGACTAGATTTTGTTTCAGGTATTATTAAATGAATACTAGTAGACATATTTAGGCAATGAACAATCCTATAAAATGCAAAAAGTAAAAAATAACAAATATTGACCGATTTTGAAAAATCTATAGTCAAATTGATTCAAGTCGGTGAATTAGACACAAAACAAAGACCCCCTGAAATATTCAGTAGTGAAATCCAACAAGTCTTTTCTTCTTATAAAAAAGTTTAAGAATAGATACTGGAATAAGGGGGACACAAAAAGTACCCGAAATTAGTCGAATGATAAGAAAATTATGCACTTTTACGTGAGGTCAAAATTTTTCATGAGTATTTTTATGATTTTAGACATTATCATCGTTGTAATAGGAACATTTCTGTTTAATATTTCGACATTTTACCAGAAAAATACGGAAATGGGAATCAAACAACATAATGATTAACGAGATACCGTCAATTTCCTCATGCCAACTTCTGTCAACTTCTCTTCGTTTGTAGCAATATCACCTGCTTATGGGGTTTTGGTGATGAAACTTCTTGCTTGAAGTATATAATCATTTTGCAAGTTTTATGGTCGATACAATGACTTTGTCAGCAATTACAATTTATCAGCAAGTCAAAATGCTGAATGATGACTTTCATATTAATTTTTAGGCCATTATTTTCATAGTCATTGAACTGCATTTGGATTTTCTATTTGACTGATCATAAATAGGAGCAAACGGAAGGTGTGATCGGTCGCATGGGGGTGCTCACTCTTTCATGGCACCTCGTTCCCATTCTGATAATTGAAGAGTTGCTTGCCCTGTTTCCGATTCATATTGGTCAAATGGATTTTTGACCTGGTTAACGTAAGGACCTGGTATCGCCATATTTCAGTTCTGGAGTTTTGGACTGTATAGATAATATGCATAGTAATGCAGGCATTAAAATGCCTTCTCTGAGCATGATAATATCCAGTGTTTTGAAAAGGGCAGCTTGCATATATATAAAGCTAATCAAGGTTTTTGGTTGAGACGGTTTTAAAATGAAATATATGAGATAATGAACAATATTGAAGTTCAAAAGTCCATTTAACAATACAAAATAGGAGCAGAGCATACACGGACCTCCAAAACATCAGAGGTGGGATCAGGTGTCATGGAGGAGTGAGCATCCCCTGCCGACCGGACCTGTCGTGTGCTCCTTGTCATGATCGGGAAATAACGGGAAAATTCTTCGACAATCCATTGTGTATAAAATGGCCAAACAATTAGAATGAAAAAAGTCAGTCGATCAGCATTTGACTTATTGATAAAATGAATCTACTGACAAGGTCATTGTTTCGACCGTAGAACTTACTAAAATGATGACATTACACGAAACTGCTACTATTCTTGTTTCAGATTTAAGATTGTTCATATATACTTTTGTATATAAAACATTAATCCCCTTCTTAAACCTCAACCTACCCAAGTGAGTCGTGAATTTATCAAACTTGAATCAACACTTCCTAAGGATATGCGTATATAAAAACGACTACATATATCTTTGCTGTGCTTGAAAAGGATGGTTTTTTAAGAGTTTTTTTTTGGTGTATTTCTATGTAAAAATTTTATCCCTCCTTGTGTCACATCCATCCCCGAGGCCATGATTTGAACGATCTTGTGGGGGGTTCAGGGGGTGAAGCCCCCAGACGGAAATTGATTTTGGGGGTTTTAGAATATAAAAATTATAATATTCTGGACAGAAATTTCGTGAATTTTCCGATTTATGACTTTCAGCATTCGTATGATTCTACATGTACATACTGTATTTTAAAGTATTTAATAGTGTAAATAAAAATGTACGTATATTCAAACTTCTAACACATTTTCGAAAAAAAAGTACGCCCCTGGATCCCCTATTATAGCCCTACTCTAACCCTCGAGATCATGTTTTACACCAAAGTGAATCTACACTACCTGATCTTTCCATATAACTATGATTAGTCATAACCTCATTCCCCCTTCAGATAATTCCTAGTATGTAAAACTTAGATTGCCCAAAGCTGTTCCACCCTCCCTGGGTTTGGATTTGAACAAATATGTCAAGAAGGTTTCACTAGAGTTTTACCTTTACTGATTTAACTGACTTATTTAAAATAAGGTTTTAAAATGACCATATCCAAAGGACAAATTTTGAGCCTTTGACTCAAGTTAGATAAAAAGGAATTTGAATTTTTGTTGATCATAACTTCATTATACTTTTTGTGATACTTCACCACATTTTTCTAGCCAGCGTACCATCTGCAGCTCTTTCAGTTGGAGTACAAAGACTAAGATCAGAAATAAGGGAATGTGAAAATGAAAAGGAAAAGCTGGGGTCAGAAGTTTGCAGTATGGCCTTGGCTCAAAAACGGTCAGAACTGGAGGAAGCAAAGGCGGATCTAGAGGAATGCAGGGGTGGTTATGACAATTTTTATGGTAAAGTTATTTTCACGAACGGGGAAACCAAATGACTACAAGCATTTTGATTGCATAGTTTTATGAAATGAGGCATTCTTTTTCTTTTTTTTGATTGCATTGCTTGTAAAACAACAGAGAAACATGCAAACAGAGATGATTATATGTTTATGTGTTTTAAAAATTATCTTCACGGTATAACTTGTCAAAAAATATTATTCTTTTCTTTTTAGAGTTCCTCGATAATTTGTGTGACGTATATAGATTCAAGGAGTGTGATTGTTCCTCGATAACCTCTGAAGCTGATTGTAACAGTACAGGGTATTGTGAATGGGGAGACTGTCAGTCCTGCGGCTGAGGGAGGTGTTATAGTATAGAATACAAACACATCTCATATGTTGTATGCTGCTTAAATGAAGTAAGATGCAGAATGCAATTCAATGCGTATATATAGTTACACGTACTTTAACATATAATAAAGCCTGCAGATACACCAAACATACAATAATTTAATTTCCAACAATTTTGTACATGATGAAGTGATAGTTTGCATGAACAAAGACGTGTTATTGTTGGATTGCTTTGTTTTGTTCTGTTTATTGGCTTTTGTTTTGTTTTATCTTATTTAATGTGTTTGTATATTGATATTTTCCGGGATTTTCTTTAAAGGGGAAGGGGGTCATTACTTAAAATTTTAAAGAAATGTAATGTGGTTAAATTCGTTTCTTTAGATATATATGCATGGACAATTTTCTCTAACTCTTCAGAATGAAATTTAACTTTAAAAGGTTTGATATATTGATTTTTAAAAATGTTTCATGATAATAACTGAATGTTCAATGTTGCGTTAATTCTGTCCTTTTTTATGCACCTTATCCACATTAAAATGGACCTGTGAAACCAACTGATCAATATACTTTTTGTTTGCAAGAAAATATTTTGGTCATTTCTGAATTCAATAATAAAATGATTGGGGAAATCAATGAATATTTTTATTTTTTCAGTGATATATGAAGAGAAAGAGCAGTAATAAGCCTTTAAAAGGCCACGGAAACAAGACGAATTGAGAGTAGAGCAAGCACATATCTCTACAAGGCTAGGCTGACAAACTAGGTCATTGCATCGACCCTTGAACTTAGGAAATGATTGCTTTAAATTAGACTGTTGATATTCTTGTTTTATCAACTTGTTTGTCAATAACTTTCCTCGTTTTAGAAAATGTTCATACGTATAGAGCATGCTCTTGCGTATCGAATCAACTGAGAGCTAAAAACCCCGTATGCAGGTGATAGAAGTATATTAAATTGCCACATAAGTATTGGAAGTTAAATATTAGAGTTTAAAAAGTCATTAAGTCTATCATAAAGGTTTGTTGTTAGATTACCAATAACGTCAATTTCTGGTAAAAATAATCAATAATATGAAACAGATGTGTCAGACTCTGTGGTATCATTTATTTCAATCTCACCGGGATATATCGTATGGACATAAAATGGAAATAACATGCAATTGTTAAATTTTAGAATTTGAACAAAGTCTGTTTCATATGAATACAAAAATAGATATGTTAAAAAGGGGACGCAATTGGTGCCCATGGGAATTCCAAGATAGGTCTCCAAAACCCCCATAGATATTATCAGTCAGAAACTCGAACATCTTTTAATATCAACTTTGAACAGAGTACTTTTTTGCACAGTCAGAATGTTTTAAACAAAAAATAATTTTGCAAATGACCAACGACAAGGGACAAAGTAAGTTAATTTATTATTTTTTATTGAAAAGGAGGCTGTTTTTATCTATATACTTGATTCTAATGGAATTTTTTTTATTTTAAATTTTCCAACAGTTCATTGGAGTTTATATTTAATATTTGCGGATCTAGAGGAGGGGTCGGGGGGGGGGGGGGGTCAAGACACCCCCCCCCCCCCTGGAATTTGCAGAGATATTAAATTGATACAGTAAACCAAGGAAGAAGTGACCTTGGACCCCCCCCCCCCTAGAAAACGGAGACCCCTCTTGAAAAGGCGGACCTTTGTGAAGTTGTTATGAAAAGTAATAGGTATAAAGCATTAGAAGTCAAAAGTCCCCCCAACCACCACCACCACCATATCATCGTCTCAAGTCACGGTCCGGAGTCGGCATAAAGCTCTCTCCTACATTTTGGCCGTGGTTTGCGACGATGCCACCACATAGGGTTTTCACGTTCGAGCAATTAGTTTAGGTTTTGTTTTGTTTTATTTTAAATTTTTTTTTTTAAATTATTTTTTTTTCTTTTGCTTGTCAATAACAAATTTCTGAGGTGGATTTTTTTATTGGGGTGGACCCCCCCCCCCCCGGAAAAAAAAATTCCTGGATCCGCGCCTGTTAACCATTGAAGTCTATTGAGCAAAATTAAATTAGAACAGAAAAATATAGGCAGTTGTTATTCAAGATGAAAAGTATGGGTATAAATACAAGGAGCACTGGGTGAATATCCAGATCTGTGTACGAGTTCATGGTGAATATATGAAGGACAATTAAATACCTCAATTAAGACACATCATCAATGAAATGATGAAAAGTCGTTAAATAGAACAGAAATTGTAATTAAAATGGTTGTCTGAAAAGAAGATTATAATCGATATTTCTTACGTAAATATAAAGACTGAAGGCACAGGGGGGCATTTAAGGGTTAAATTAAAATAATATTTTTTATATGATATATTTCAAGCTTGGACAAGAAACAGTCGGAAATAATAGAATACTTTTTAAGGTTTTTAGCAAGCGGTGGTATTTGCTGGAAATGTGGTATATTTGCTGCAATGTTAATCATTTTTCTCCAGAAAAAAAATTGATCGACAAACCATATTAAAAAACATATCCCTGTAAAACTGAAAATCCATCCTCAAAAAAACTAACTAGTGTCCCAGGGGAATGGGAGCTGGTAGAGGAAGAAATCTTTAAAACTTAAACATGTTAAATAAAAAAGGAAATTGATGTCAGCCATCAGAATTTAGGCATGGCATGCTAAGAATTCGAGTATTTTTTATTTAATATGTACCTTTCTTTTCAAATAAGAAGGAGGGTTAATTTCGCTACAAAAGTCGGTGTTCGTTTACCAATTAACATTATAGAAGAAATATTTTTGGAGGGACGTAAAATAACTACACAAAAACTTTTTAAGCTTTCTACCAGAAAACGCCTAAATTATGTGCTGCTAATACGTTACATAAAATCTTATTTTCCCCCACTGAATGCTATCGTAAATGGTAACGTCCTCTATATTTACAGCAGAATCCGAACTCAGTTCTGAATATTTACCTCAATGATCCTAATATTGACCCAGTATTCTCAATATTGACACGTGTTTCTTCCTTGTGCTCTCAATATTCACTTCAAAGTTTTATGTACGGAACGTATAAACACTTGATGTTCGACCCACTTATAAAGGGGCGTGATACACCATCTACCTTTAACATGATTAAAAAAAAAATAAGTTTAAGGTAAAAAAAAAATATTACAGAATCAAGTGCCTGTGGAATATAAAAAGGAGTTCAAATTTAACTCTATCTCTCAAAAATTAATTGATTATATAGCATATAGCACTTGACTACATACAATTATAATTTAATGGGTTTTTTTTTCCAAGAAAAAATCTGCATGCTGTGAGCTAGAGGTCATTTGTAAATTCTCACAAAGGCTAAATCTATGTAACGTACCATAAAAGATATGCGGTTGAGTGTGCCATATATTGCTCTGAGTGTTCCATATTGAACCCGGTATTCTCAATATTAACACCTCTCTCTCAGTATCGTGCTCAGTTTTCACCTTAGAATTGCTCTAGACTGATCTGGTGAACTAACCTCAACCCATCTCGTTGACCTACATGTATCGTACATTTTGAATCGTCGTTTTATTTCGGCTGTTTATTTTCAAACTGCTATGAATTATTATATAATGATAATAATATAGAGCAAAATTGTTCAATAAATGTTTAAAATTAGTTCCATGAATTTAAATTGGTGCGTGGTGACATTCATAGTTAAAATATTGAAACCAGCACAAATTCGACATCAAAATAAATTTGCAACTTCGACCTTCAAAATATAGGATACGACATATTTATTATTCCATACGTTATGTATGTTACCAGTCTTTCGTACTCAAAATGCATGTTGAGCTAACATGAAATTGACGACCATAATATTTTGATTCCAAAAGGGTGGGATGGGGTTGGGATGAGCTGGTAATTTTTTTGAGTTGAATTATTTATTTTTACCGTCAAAGAACAAATGATGAAGGACATATTATTTATTTCAAAAAAAAAAAAGGAACAAGAGATGTTTGTAAAACACTTATGCCCCCCTCCCCCACAAATTGGAATTTTTCTAAGTCCAAAAGGGCAAAACTCTGTCAAAAATGGTGTGATCATATGATCATACCCAAAACAGAACTTGACCAAGATATTCATCTGACTAATCTGTATACTAAATTCCATTTCATTGTGTGCAACTTCTGCAAAGCAAATGAATGGAAAGTGCAAAAATATGGAATTTTTCTAAGTCCAAGGGGCATAACTCTGTCAAAAATGGTGTGATCATACCCAAAACAGAACTTGACCTAGATATTCATCTGGCTAATCTGTATACTAAATTCCATTTCAATATGTGCAACCTCTCCAAAGAAAATGAACGGAAAGTGCAAAAATATGGAATTTTTCTAAGTCCAAGGGGCATAACTCTGTCAATTATGGTGCGATCATACCCAAAACAGAACTTGACCTAGATATTCATCTGACTAATCTGTATACTAAATTCCATTTTAATATGTGCAACTTCTCCAAAGAAAATGAGCGGAAACTGCAAATAATTGGAATTTTTCTAAGTCCAAGGGGCATAACTCTGTCAATTATGGTGCGATCGTACCCAAAACAAAACTTGACCTAGATATTCTTCTGACTAATCTGTATACTAAATTCCATTTCAATATGTGCAACCTCTCCAAAGAAAATGAGCGGAAACTGCAAACAATTGGAATTTTTTTAAGTCCAAGGGGCATAACTCTGTCAATTATGGTGCGATCGTACCCAAAACAGAACTTGAGCTAGATATTCATCTGATATACCTGTATACCAAATTTCATTTCAGTATGTTCAACGGTTATGAAGAAAAGTACGGAAACTAAATGGACCGACAGACAGACCGACCGACCGACCGACAGACAGCAGCAAAGCAATATGCCCTCCCTTCTTCGAAGGGGGGCATAAAAAGAAAAAAAAATCGGCTCAAGCTTCATTTCGTTGGAGTGGGTTGGGGGTAGGTTCCACCAGTCAGTGTTACAGTGTTTTCCTTTTTTTCCCAGTGGAAGACAAATTCTCAGTACAGATTATTTGCTGTCAAATTCTGCAAGCCCCCCTTCTCTCAGTATATTTTAAATGGCCATCCCTTAATGATAAAAGTAATTAATGGTATATAATAGTACAAGTAGAAGTTCAGGTAAATTTGTTCAAAGGTGCATGTATAAAGTGATACAATCTAATTAAAATTAGATCTTTGATCCGCTACAGTTACATCGCTACACAGATCTAACTGGAGTGGATCAAAGTTCTAATTTTAATTAGATTGTGAAAATCTATGATCCTCCCCCATTTCTCCACAAAATATTTACCGGGTAGGTATAAATATCACCAACATGATCTATTTATGAGTTTATGACTATGGGAGAAGAAACTTCTAAAAATCAAAATCCTTTAGTTTAATTTACAAAATAATATTTATTAACTGTCATCACAGAAGATCCAGTCTTTACACATTGTCACAGACAAAACATGATTAAACAAACTCAAACATACACAACTGAGTGCTTGGGATTGCAACAAGATGCAGAACAAAGACCATACGATATAGTAGAAAATGTCCTAAAATGGAAATGTTCAAGGAAACGAAATCATAAAATTTTAAATACAAATGTTAAATGAAAAATTTTGTTTTTAGTTAAAAAGAGAAAAAAAATGATTCTTTTTTTCTATTGACAGTTTGGGTTAATGAGAGGAATGGATAAAATCAAACTTTCAGCCACTGAAATCTTTCAATCATTATGGCATTAACTATCTAAGTACTGACTACTCTAAATCCATTCTTTGATAATTATTAAAGTACTCATCACATAAGTTTGCTCCAATGTAAATATACCTGAATTGTCATCATGATATGAAACATGGGCAATTCTTTTTTAAAGTATAACCAAATGAAAAATGCCCAAAGCAATCTTTCATTTCAGAATAATTTGACGAAGTATTTGGCAAAGTGGTTTCAAATTTCTTCAGTGTTTCAAATACATCATATCAATTATTACACTTCAAAATGTATTATTTGTATTTAAAAACATAGTTAAAATTGTCTAATCCTAACTGCTTGCAAAGAAATCAGTCAGATTCCATGTAGACTATATTCCCATTTTGGCAACATTTTAAACAACCAAATTTATAGAAAGGAACTTTAAGTTTAAATTAATTGTACTAGGCAAGATTTCAGAACATACAACATCAGGATCAGACAAGTTTCACTGTTTCTGGAAAATTATACACTATAATTAACACACACATATAGACTGTAAACTTGCATTATTCCTTTTTTAAAAGTATGCAAAACAGGGGAAAACAAGTTACCTCTTATTTAATAAGTAACTCCACTGTGTCCCAACAAAAATGAAAGTGTGTGTTTGAACAACTAAGTCTGTCACAATTTTTGCAAAGCACCGTATACATAACATATATTTATTATTATACCATAAACCACAATTTTCACATACATGTATTTTGTAAGTGATAATACCTTTTGATGAAGCACTATAAAAAAAATAATGACGACTGATATCTATAACAAGATGTTGAAAAAAAAACAGAAGGTGTATATTTCACTACAATCACCAAACTAATTCATTCACATGTATCCCTCAATATTTTTCACACAAATTTCACTCACTCATTTATTCTTTCAATACATTTTTTTTTTAAATTCTCTTAAACATTTGCAAAATGGAATTGTCACATCACAAACACGAACCCATTTATACAATATTCCCAATGAGACAATATGACATTGCTCAGCCCTAAAAAAAGTTCATCATCCCTATGTTCATTTAAACAAAATTTGTTTGAATGAAAATAATTTTCACAAAAAAAAGTTTCAATTACAATTGAAATGATGACAATTTCTGCATACATTGTGGTGCTAATTTTAATAGAAATTGCCCTCTTACATGTATAAACTTGGCAATTTTTAATGGGAATAATAGTCATTATTTCCACTAAGAGTTATCTCTCTTATCAGAGGGTAAATGAACCTTAAATTCCTTATCGCATAAATAAAATAATTTATAGTATACTTATTGGCTTTTCGTAATGATAAAGTTAACTTTAAATGCATGATTTAATTTTTTTTATCCAAGACATGCCTAATTATATGATTATGAGGACTGCTGCTGCTTCAATATCTCGTCAAGTTTGGTCCTGATGTGATCTGTGTAGTAACGAGGAATTAAGATCACTAATGCTGTACCAATGTTATAATTCATCATGTAAATGTAATTTAGAACCTGTAAAGAAAAAAAATCAAAATATTATTTATCATAATATATAGAGAATAATACATACCCTTTTCCACATCACATCCTGTATCAGCCCGAGACACCAATATCAGCCAGAGGGCCGAAGGCCCGAGGGCTGATATTGGTCGAGGGCTGATACAGGATGTGATGTGGAAAAGGGTATGTTTTATTATATTTATTACATACTTAGTAATAAAATACAGAACACATTAAATTGAGAAAAAAATAAGTAAATAATCATGCACGGACTTCTTAAATGTACACAGTCTATTGTCTCATACATTTTCGGTTTGTTTCTGCATGTACTCCTATTTCAGATGTCCTCAATCCGTAATTTTAGAATAATCTATTATTTATCAGTTAGATTATCATTACATTCAAAAAGTTAAAATTAAGAGAATTATGTAACCCCCCAAATATGTGTATGATCACAAGTACTGTTTTTTGAGGTTTAATTTAATAGAGGTGTGATATTGATTTGTATCAGCCCTGCAGAGCTGATAACCTATATCAGCCCCGCAAATCCATATCAGCCCTGCAGGGTTGATAGGGCTATTGTGACATCAGCCATATCGCATATGCAAACATAGGCAATCAGAGATTACAGAGCTCACCTCAATGAATGTTGTCTTTAAGTAAGGCAAATTAAGTCACACAATTAACCAACAAAAAGTGTACTACATCCAAAAATGCAAAATTTATGCAATTTTGATACTTTGGAATAGACCTATATAAAAACTTACAACTAGTTCTTCATCATGAAAATGTAATTAAAATCCAGCATCTGAAGCAAGATTGAGAGTTTTCATCCCTTGATGCATCATTTGTGCAACTTTGGTTTATATAAGCCTTATAGTTTCTTGGTGATAGACCTGCACCCATAACTTTTAAGAGGTCTATTATCTGGAAAATGTATGTTGAATTCAGCATTTAAAAGCAAGTCCATTAGTGTGCATCCTAAGATGTATCATCCATGCAAGTTTGTTCAACATAGAGCTCAAAGTTACTTGGAAATGAAACCTGTATAAAAAACTAACCTTTTCACTAATCCGGAAAATGTAGGTCAGATTCAGCTTCTGAAGCCAGCCTAGTAGAATGCACCCTTAGATGTACCATCCATGCAAGTTTGGTCATTATAGGGCTCAAAGTTACTTGGAAATGAATCCTGCACCATAAACTTTAACCTGTTTACTCAACCGGAAAATGTAGGTCAGATTCAGCATCCGAAGCAAGTCCGGTAGTATGCATCCTAAGATGTACCATCCAGGCAAGTTTAGTCATTATAGGGTTCATAGTACCTTGGAAATGAAACCTGCACCAAAAATTTTAACCTGTTCACTCAACCGGAAAATGTAGGTCAGATTCAGCATCCGAAGCAAGTCTTGTAATATGCATCCTCAGATGTACCATCCATGCAAGTTTGGTCATTATATGTCTCATAGTAACTTGGAAATGAAACCTGCACCAAAAACTTTAACCTGTTCACTCAACCGGAAAATGTAGGTCAGATTCAGCATCCGAAGCAAATCTGGTAGTATGAATCCTAAGATGTACCATCCATGCAAGTTTGGTCATTATAGGGTTCATAGTACCTTGGAAATGAAACCTGCACAAAAAACTTTAACCTGTTCACTCAACCGGAAAATGTAGGTCAGATTCAGCATCCGAAGCAAGTCTAGTAGAATGCATCCTTAGATGTACCATCCATGCAAGTTTGGTCATTATAGGGCTCATAGTATCTTCGAAATGAAACCTGCACCAAAAACTTTAACCTGTTCACTCAACCGGAAAATGTAGGTCAGATTCAGCATCCGAAGCAAGTCTGGTAGTATGCATCCTAAGATGTACCATCCATGTAAGTTTTGTCAACATAGGGCTTTTAGTTACTCGGAAATGAGACCTACACCAAAAACTGCACCAAAAATGTTAACCTGCACCAAAAACATTAACCTGGTCATTCCTTTGCTGAAATTGCAGCATCTGAAACTTTGACTGGTACAATGAAACACATTAGAAACATCTTCCATGCATGTCTAATCAATATAGGACATAGAAGTACTTAAAAAGACAAGAGGCCCATGGGCCACATCGCTCACATGAGCACTAAGGGTAGAAAAAGTAGAAAATGGCTTTTTATTGTAAAGTTTAAATCCAAAAGTAGTCCCATGACCAATCATGGATTTGCTATTTTTAGAAAATGATTTTTAAAGAATTTTAATATGCATATCTTTAAAAAATTTGGTCGGCCATTTTGGTCCCGCCCTACCCCTGGGGGTCATGATTTGAACAAATTTGAATCTACACTACTTGAGAATGCTTCCATATAAATATGATGAATTATGGCTTTGTCCATCTTCCCAAGTCAAGAGTTTCTGATCCGCTTCGCTCCCCATAAACCCTTGACTGAATAGACCAAGTTTGATGGGGTTTACTGTCACGCCATCTAGTGAGATGACATATATTGAACTCTACTGACCTCTGCTATTGGCCAATCAGAGTAAACGAATTCCACAGAGAATTCGAGATAATATTGGAAGTTGGTAATACATTCAATATAATTCAACTAAAAAGCTGAGACTAACCTTTAACTGGGCTATTTAATGATAAAGACGTTATCCTTGGGACTAAAACTGGCTTGTTTTTTGTTTACAATTTAGTTTTAGTTTAAATAAAACAATGATTTTGATTGGTTCATGCAGACTCGCATGAGGCCAATCAGAGAACGCATTTCTAACCCCGTCATACTTAGCCTATTCTGTCAAGGGTTTATGTGTAGCGGAGCGGATCAAAAACTCTTGACTTGGGAAGATGGGCTTTGTCATTCTTGAGATTTTTAAAGAATTTTCCTATATATTTCTATGTAAAACTGGTCGGCCATTTTGGCCCCGCCCTACCCCTGGGGGTCATGATTTGAACAAACTTATATCTACACTACCTGAACTTGCTTCCATATAAATATGATGAATTATGGCTTTGTCATTCTTGAGAAGAAGATTTTTAAAGAATTTTACTATATATTTCTATGTAAAACTTTGGTCGGCCATTTTGGCCCCGCCCTACCCCCGGGGGTCATGATTTGAACAAATTTGAATCTACACTACCTGAACTTGCTTCCATATAAATATGATGAATTATGGCTTTGTCATTCTTGAGAAGAAGATTTTTAAAGAATTTTCCTATATATTTCTATGTAAAACTTTGGTCGGCCATTTTGGCCCCGCCCTACCCCCGGGGGTCATGATTTGAACAAACTTGAATCTACACTACCTGAGCATTCTTCCATATAAATATGACGAATTATGGCTTTGTCATTCTTGAGAAGAAGATTTTTAAAGAATTTTACTATATATTTCTATGTAAAACTTTTGTCGGCCATTTTGGCCCCGCCCTACCCCCGGGGGTCATGATTTGAACAAACTTGAATCTACACTACCTGAGCATGCTCCCATATAATATGATGAATTATGGCTTTGTCATTCTTGACAAGAAGATTTTTAAAGAATTTTACTATATATTTCTATGTAAAAGTTTAGTCGGGCATTTTGGCCCCGCCCTACCCCCGGGGGTCATGATTTGAACAAACTTGAATCTACACTACCTGAACTTGCTTCCATATAAATATGATGAATTATGGCTTTGTCATTCTTGAGAAGAAGATTTTTAAAGAATTTTCCTATATATTTCTATGTAAAACTTTGGTCGGCCATTTTGGCCCCGCCCTACCCACGGGGGTCATGATTTGAACAAACTTGAATCTACACTACCTGAGCATGCTTCCATATAAATATGATGAATTATGGCTTTGTCATTCTTGAGAAGAAGATTTTTAAAGAATTTTCCTATATATTTCTATGTAAAACTTTGGTCGGCCATTTTGGCCCCGCCCTATCCCCGGAGGTCATGATTTGAAGAAAATTGAATCTACACTACCTGAGCATGCTCCCATATAAATATGATGAATTATGGCTTTGTCATTCTTGAAAAGAAGATTTTTAAAGAATTTTCCTATATATTTCTATGTAAAACTTTGGTCGGCCATTTTGGCCCCGCCCTACCCCCGGAGGTCATGATTTGAACAAATTTGAATCTACACTACCTGAGCATGCTCCCATATAAATATGATGAATTATGGCTTTGTCATTCTTGACAAGAAGATTTTTAAAGAATTTTCCTATATATTTCTATGTAAAACTTTGGTCGGCCATTTTGGCCCCGCCCTACCCCCAGGGGTCATGATTTGAACAAATTTGAATTTACACTACCTGAGGATGTTTCCCCATAAGTTTCATCTTTCCTGGCACAGTGGTTCTTGAGAAGAAGATTTTTAAAATATGCCACCAAATTTTCATTAATTCCCAATTATCTCCCCTTGAATGAGGGTGTGGCCCTTCATTTGAACAAACTTGAATTCCCTTCACCCAAGGATACTTTGTGGCAAGTTTGGTTGAAATTGGCCCAGTGGTTCTTGAGAAGAAGTCGAAAATGTGAAAAGTTTACAGACAGACAGACAGACAGACAGCTAGACAGACGGACAGCTAGACGGACAGACGGACGCCGGACAAAATGTGATCAGAAAAGCTCACTTGAGCCTTCGGCTCAGGTGAGCTAAAAACTGCTCCAAAAAACTTAACCTTAATCCGGGACGCCAACGCCGACGCCGAGGGTATCACATAAGCTCCCCCCAACTTCGTTGAGGTGAGCTAAAAATCCTGTATTTATTACTAAGTATGTAATAAATAAAACTAATCTAATTCATTTTTCTTTCTTTCAAAAACTAGAGGTACTGTGAGCGATGAGCTCACTAATTAATACCCCCCGCCTCCCATATGCTTATAACTGGTGAAAAAGTCCATGTTTTCCTGTGGCCGGGAAACCCAAAATATGTGTCGGATCAAAAAGTAAAATAGGAGGTGCACAATGGCAATATGTAATAAAGATTCTGTGAAAGTTTCATTAAATTTCATTCAGTGGTATGAGAGGAGTTACGGATAAGAGATGGGTACCCCAAAGCGTAACAGACGGACGGACAGACAGACGGACGGACGTACAGACGGACGGACGGACGGACGGAATTAACGATTACTATATACCCTCCCGCTTTTCAAGCGGGGGGTATAAAAAATACATTTTTTAAAGAATTATAGTAATACTGACTCAACACTTTATTAGCATTTTTGCTTTGTGTGATAACTAATTCTAAACACGAGAAAAGATGTTCATTTTTATATATGGACTAAATTGAACCCCACTACATATACAGCATATAAAATTTACCAGCTGGCCAAGGTATTCTTTTTAAGATATGTTTTGTACAATATATGAACACATTTGAACAGAACAATTCAATTCATTTCACACTTAATAAATATTTTTTATTTCTCTATATTTCAAACAAGGTACCCTACACAAGTACATTTATTGATACCATGTTGAGTAAGCCCATGGTTAAAATGGTAAAGACTATTATACCTTTGGATATTACCCGACAGTAAAGCTCTTAAATAAAAATTCTGTCCGTAACACTTTTTCACTAAATAGAAATACATGTATAACAGACTTACCTATTTTCTTTTCGTCTATATTTGGTGGTTCGTACTCTACTTGCTTTCGTGTGTTTGTCTTATACACTTTATCCCACAAAACTTTGACTTCATAGTCGTATTCTTTCCACTCTGGTAATATACGCAATGCTGCTTTTAACTTTGGTTCTTTTGTCAGAGGGTTATTGCACTGAAAAATTAAATAGCACCAAAATTAAGTTATTTGACAATACTTTTCAATCAAAGGGGGATGGCTGATAAATCCTTGTTTACAATTTTTGTAAATAAACATATAAACATTTATTATACCCCCCGCTTGAAAAGCGGGAGGGTATATAGTAATCGTTAATTCCGTCCGTCTGTACGTCCGTCCGTCTGTTAAGCTTTGGGGTACCCATCTCTTATCCGTAACTCCTCTTATACTACTGAATGAAATTTAATGAAACTTTTACAGAATCTTTATTACATATTGCCATTGTGCACCTCCTATTTTACTTTTTTATTCGACAGGTATTTTAGGTTTCCCATAGCAAAACATGAACATTGCCATTATATTCTATATTTATATCCTATGGCGTCATCTATAGAAGCTTCTGGATAACATTTGATAAGACGAGTTATTCCTCTTTACACATTTACATTACCGTAAAACAATAGCAAAACATCGACATTATGGGAGGCGGGGGGTATCATTTAGTGAGCTCATTGCTCACAGTACCTCTAGTTTTTATTCAAATGAAGATCACACTGTTTGCTTGAACAATATACTGTAGATCACCTTATTTTCGCGACACCCTTATTTTCGCGAAATAGTCATTGACTCTTCTTTAGCGAGACAAAATTTTCACGAATTGTAGTCATTGCTTTAATTAATCTTAAGGAATTCTATTGTACGCCAGAATGAAATTTTCACGAGCATACCGCCTCGCGTAATTACGCGAAAATAAAGTTCTCACGAATAAAAAGTGTTTTACAGTAACCACACACATGTGTGATTTTGAAAACAATGCCCATTGCTGTACCAGAGTCCTTCCCTGGCAAATATACACTTGACCTTCAATCTCTCAGATAAGATCTTCACTAAGATCTTCACTTGATATAAACCTTGAAATTTGATCCATATACCTAGATGTCTAAGAATGTACTATTACTTTGTTCTAATGTATTTTATTTATACTTCTATGCTTTATCTATATTTATTACTTTTATGCACAATGAAGTTCAATGCCTCACCAGGTCTATAGTTTTGGCCGTCTTCTTTGACTCATCACTACACCATGTTTCGCACCACAACCAGTCTTGAGGCAGTGATTTTATCGCCACCTGGTGGATCATGTTGTTAGGCAGATCCTGGTCTAAGTTTGACAGACTGTTTGGATCTTGAGAAAGTCCCTGATATTGACCTCTGAGACGATCCCCAGCGGCTATACGACGAAACTTCTTAAGATCCACTACATATAAGGCACTAGTGAAAAATTGTTTAAAGAAATATTTTACATGTATATATAGCATAAAAAAATAAGTGTAACTTATGTAAATTACAAAAACAAATATATTTTATATGAACCATTATTTTATTTATACAAAATTTTATTCACAAATAAAAGTGAATGGGTTTGGGCAGCAGACAAAGCCTATTTTAGCCCTCTCTCTAAATGATATGAATCATTACTGATACAGTATGTGCATCAAAATAGCTTACAGAAGTTTAATTTCTTTTTTACTACTGGATCTAAATACACTTTGAAAAGATTAAATAGGTCTATCTTGAATAAATACAAGATTCAAAGCATTGCAATGCTATTTTTATGTGTATTGTCCAGTTATTCATCAGATTTCAGATTTAGCTTACCTAATGTGATATTCTCTTCCAGCTAAATGACTGGCCCAATATCCTGATCTCCAGAATCTATAAACAGTAAAACAAAATGCATTCATTTATACATGTACTCTGACAGACAATGTATACTTTATATACTGTAAATCTAATCAACTTTCAGTGGATTTTAAGTAAAAACACATAATTTGCAAAATTTTATGAAAATCACAAATGAAAATCATCATTTTTTTGTTAAAGTACGAAATACAATTTGATATGAAACATAGAGCACAAATGCCCTAGATTTACCTGAATCCATCCATTTCCCTCCTGCTGGAACAGAAAGGTGTGTAGCCATAGGGGGCACCCTCAAGGTCAAGGTCGTTTAATTCTTGTAAATCTGTCCTTACAACCTGAAGGGGAAAATCACGCAATAAAAAATAGGTCTTTTTCCTTTAATGAAATAATAAACATGTGTGAAAGTCATAATAGCACTTGCCTGATCTGCATCAACAAATATAATTTTCTTCACATCCAAGGGGAATAACACATCTAAGAACAAGATTTTGTATCTGCAAATTGAAGAATTTCATGCTTAAGTTCAACAAAATCTGGAAAGTATGAAATCGCAAGATTTGTTTAAAGTTTTTTTGTTTAATTATGCTTGAAGTTATTGCTTTAATTAAAGTATATATATGACAATACATCCTCCAATGAAATCTATCACTTCCTATGAATACATATGGACACATGGAAATTTTATTAAAAATGTACACAAAATGTTTAAAACACAAAAATATCTAATTGCTTATGACCTACCCCCACATAACTCTTTGCTTTTCTTTTTGCTGATTTAACCATCTTGGCCATTTATACTGAACCAGTTCATATTCAAAGCCATATTCTTTTGCCATTTTTGGTATAAAATCCTGAAGGAAAAAAATTCAAGAACATGTACATTATACAAGTTGTCACACAAGCAAAACTGTAAGTAGAGTTTGTAAGCTTCTTTTCAAAAACTTATCACCACTTCTGATTGTATTATACTACCTTAAAAGAAGGTGACAGGTAATTTTTCAAAAACCAAAACTTCACTTGGGATTTTGTGTGTTTTAAGACACTCAACATCATAATTCTGAAAATGACAGAGGAAAACAAATAATTCACAGTTTCAAGATATAAAATACTCAAAGTTATAATCGGAACATTTCTGACTTTTATAAAATTATATATGTAAAACCCTTGAACAGAGAACACACATTCTCTAATGGCTAATAACTGCATTTAATAACATTATTACTGTACCTCATAAGTCTCTCATACATGTGACCAGAGGCCAGGGAGAAAATATTTAAAACTTTTCCTTCAGTTTCTTCTTTTGGTTTGAATGAACTGAAAATGGAAGATAGGTTATTGTATTCAACTATAGGAATGCAAAATATCATACAACTTGACTGTATATTCAGATACACAATTTAATAAAATGAAAGAATACAGAGTCTTTAGAAGAGACCTGAATATGAATCATCTTACATTACCTAGCTAAAAGCCTTCAATACAATTCAATTTCAAATTGAAATTTTCTGAGAAATCTTTCTTCAACTACCTACCGACCCAGATTTTTTCACCCTAAGTTGGAGGAGGTCAAACAAACATTATTTTAGAATTTTGAAATTGGCCATGTTAAGTAAGGTAGATAAACAAGAATTTGAGATTTCTTATACCTAGATATAGAGTCCCAGATACTTTTGTCATCATCTTCATCCTTCAACAACTGTTCCATTATTTTATCCTTCTTCTTCTCAACCTAAAATAAATTTTAAGATAATTAGAAATCAGAATTTACACTATCAGCTATAAGGATGCGTACATATCTCTATCAAAATCCACAGTTTAACAAATGTTCAGCTCAAACTAGCAATGACCACAATTAATACATTGTATGGACTAGAATAATGATCTTTCATTTTTTGAGATTACAAAGTATGCCATATTATTTATCGTGACCATGACTGTACATAAATTTATTTAAAAATCATTCTAAGTGACAAATCAATCTTGTTGTTAAGATTATGAAAGAATGTGTCATTCTGACTACTTTGACTTGATTTACCTTGACGCGAATAATTTTACTCTTGAAGCTATTTATAGCAACAACCACATCATCAGAACCTGCAGGTGTATCTGTCATTTCATGTCTGTTAAATGAAAAAATAAATAATTACATGTACTGTGAAATCACTAATTTTAGTGGGGGTTTAATTTTCATTGTTTTCATTTCATTTTCATTTTTTTTCGAGGTATTGAGAGACCCACGAATTTATGACCACCATGAAATGTAAAATTTTATATGCATTGCTACAAAACATTTTCCAACCACGAATTCAAATCCTCTCAAACCAGTATTTCTTCCTCAAACCTCGAAAATTTGACCCCAAGAAAATGTATGATTTTACAGTATGTTATCTACTCAATTTTTTTTGTATACTCAAAAACATTCCTAGAAACAGCCAAATCTTGTCATCTCAAACTCAATGGGACTGAAAAAAATGTCGAGATATCCAAGGATTTGAAAAATCCAGGTAAAATACTCCGAGAATATGATGGGGTTTGGTACTTCCAAATCACTTCAACATATAAGCATAGTATTCAAAATGTCAGTGTTCAACAAACTGAAGTTCAAATGTACATGTATTTTCCTTCCATTTCATGAATCGTTCTTGTAAATTTGAGATCTTTTGATGTGTCTTGGATTTGTTATGTATTCAAAACCCAGATGAGGAACAAATGTAAGTATTTACCCTACTATGTTGTAGATGTCTTTGGACCTCCCCTCTCTAAGCTGCAGAAACCAAACCCCTGGATTGGCCTTGAGTTGAAAGTAACCCTAGCCAAGAAAAAAGAATTAAAGAATTCTAAATTAATCATTATTTGTGTTCTTTCAAATTAGAATACCATCATAAACAAATATTAGGATAAAAATCTGCTTCAAAGAAAGAAATGCATTTAATATGCAGATGTTTGATGAATGAAGTTTAAAATGTACTTTAATGCTTCAGATACAAAATTTTCACAGGTAGGAAAGTTCAAAAAATTTTCTTCAAATAATAATAATCTTTCTTTCATAAAGGAAATAAAACTTCTAAAAATGGGCAGTTCTACAATAGAAGTAAAGAAGGGGGGATATAGTCAGTTACCAGATTAGCCATAACTATGGTGTCCACTAGAGGATTGGAGGCATTGGTGCCCAGAGTAAACTGTAATCCCCTGGGAGGCTGTCCTGAGGTGGTGTCCGAACAGTGACCTGTGACAGAAACAGAGATATCAAGAAAAATAATGAAATCACTGAACAAGTCTTATTTTCCATGACCTTGAATGTAACTCGACAATAAGATTACATATCAATCAGATAAAGGTTTTCAAAAAGCGTCATAAGGATGACATGATTTAAACTGATAATTATAAGGATATTATACTAGGTCTAAGGAAAATATATCTATCTATGTATGCAAATTGCTGGCAAATTCTTTTGTATCATTTTGAAATATAAATTCCACTGAAAGCTAATCACTATACCTTCTATCAAGATATATTCGAGAGCAAATTCTGCAGTAACGCCACTCTCAACCTGCAAAGAAAATGAAATATCATAATTATACAATGACTACTCCCAAAAATACCTCCTTTCATTTTACACAATGACTACTCCCCAAAAATGTCTCAGATTGACTTTCATAATGAGACCCCTGTGATAAATGTGAAATGTTAATTGCGTTGTCATGTTTACAATGTGCGATATTTCTTGTCTCATACTTTGTTGTGACATGTCGAGGAAATTCGAACTGGTATTGATGCATGATTACTGTATAAATGCATATTACGTTTATTAATTTCGATGTTAATCATATTCGTTTTTTACATACTTAATTACCTCTATTCATATGATTACGTCTATTATTGTGGAAAACTGCAACTTGTATCCAAAACTGTGAAGAAAGGTGTTTTGACTTTACCGGGAAATCACATGTTTTTATACTGCAATCCCGATCCCGATCTAACATGATTTGTATAAAGAATTTCGTATTTATCCTGTACTTTGACTCGAGTACTGTTTTCTTGTAGTAATGTTATGTATTTAAAATAAATATTATCGTATTTTTATTACCGTTTTAATGATACAAGTTGTGTATTGTAAATATGTAGGTATTGCTATGACCTAGTTACCTAGATACGTTTGTATAACATACGGGTTCTTGTGCTAGATAGAGAGAGGTACGGCAGCCGTTAAGGGTGACAATCTATTATTGTTGAAAGGTATTTTTTATTATTGTAATATTGTAGAAAGGATTTTTAACGAATGTTATAGTGAACAGTGAAATAGTGAAATTTTTATTACATTGTTCAATATTTTTTAAAGGAAAATATCTAAATTTAAACCTGAAAATATTATATTTCATATTTTATGTTCTAAATAAATAGTTCATATTTATTGATATAATATTTGTGTCTTTTCTAACGTTTTTGAATTTAAATAACAAATTCAGCAAACGCAATAATTGGTGGCAGCGGTGGGAAAATTTAAATTTAAATAATTTTTTGTATTTATTTTATTGTTTTTTGAGAAAAAAAAAAAGTATTGTTTGAAAAAATTAAGTTAGAAAGATGATGTTAAGAAATAGAAAATTAGGTTCTCCTAGTTTTAAAGTGGGGGAAAATAGGGATGTAGAGTTTGTGAATCAAGGTGTTCAATCATCTTCTGTGGTGGAAAATGTGTGTTCCCCAGTGCACAGCCCAAGGATTCCAAGCATGATGGGCATTGACAATGAAGAATGCAGGAATGAAAATCAAGGTGAGGTAGAGAGTCTGAGACGCAAAATAGGAGAATTGGAGGAAGCATTGAAGATAGCCAGCAGTAAACAGTCAAGTCAGAATGGTTTGTATCCCAATCTAGGTCGTTACACTCATCCTCAAGGCTATAGTGGATATTCTCAAGGACACAGTGGTTATGCCCAAAATGCTACATATCCATCAAATGTAATCCAACCAAACCAGGGAAATCATCAAATGCGATGGACCCCTCAAACCACAACTAATCATCCAGGTTGGAGTACTTATCCTCAGCCTAGCTGGCCTATTCCCAATGAAAGTGGAAGTACAAACTCCAACATGAGTGGATGCGAGGAACCAAAACCAAGACTCCCAATATTTAATGGGAAGGGAGACTGGAAGTCTTTCCTGCTTCAGTTTGAGATGTTGGCAGACAGATATAAATGGACAATTGAGAGGAGGAGGGAAGAAATCATCTTCTGCTTAAAGGACGAAGCTCTAACCTTCGTAACACAACTTTCTCATGAAGTCCGATCAGAATGGTTGTACCTAATAGAATCGATGAACAGAAGATTTGGTGACCATACACTACCGGAAACGCATAGAAGAGAACTTCAGCAAATCAAGAAGACGGCTGGTGAATCCTTCCAAGAGTACTCTACTAGGATTGAAGCTAAGATGAGCAAAGCATACCCTGGAATGCAAAATACTGAAATTTATAAAAGTTTAAGCATCGAGCACATGCTAAATGGAATCAACGATCAATCTATTGCATATGATGTCTTAACTAAACGTCCACAAACCTTACAGGAGGCTGTAAATCTGCTCTCTTGGCATTTCTCATGCAAAAATGGTATTAGAGCTAAACAACATCTCAGACAAATAGCTGTGGAGGAAGAATATAATACTCCAGAAGTCAAAAGAGTTGGCAATAAACCGTTCATCACAGAGGACAGACTGTGCCAATTTGGACGGGAATTAACAGAATCCATCAACAGCACCATGCGTGATATACAAAAAGACATGAAGAACTATGTTGACCAAAAAACAACAAACAGTTTGTCCAAACAACCCTTTGTATGTTATGGCTGTGGTGAGGAAGGGCACACCAGGAAAACATGTCCCTTGTCAAAGGATAAAAAAGAATTCAAGTCAACCACGAAGAAGGTGAACAATTATCAGACACAGACGAAGGGTGGATCTAACCAAGCGAGGTCATTTCCTCACCCTACATGTACAGAAGAAAATAAAAAATCTTTAAACTAGAAGGGGCTGAGGTTGTCGGCCAAACATCAGCCCTACTAGGAAAAGTGGAAATGAGTAAAATGGAGAAAAACCCCATTATCAATCAAAAGGAGAAGGAATCCACGGTGATCAAAGCAAATCCACAAACCACGATGGAAGGAAGTTTTGAACAGGTGAAGGAACCTTGTATACTTAATACTGCAGCAGAGGAAAGTGAGGTTGTCATTGATAGGGTACATGCCGTAACTATCCGAGCTCCCGTTACCATTGAGGGCATTAGGATGAATGCTGTGGTAGACACTGGAGCAGAGGTGACAGTGATTAGTGAGAGAAGGTTTCATGAAATTCCTGTTGAGAAATGTCCGCAGTTGCGACAAGCTCCAAGAAGCTTAGTGGTAGCAGAGGCGGGTAGGAAAATGTGGACAAGTGGAATAACGGAAGTCAAAATGGAAATAGGAGAGGAAAACTATGCATGGGAAATGTATGTGGCTCCAATAGCAGATGACCTATTACTTGGTTGCGACTTCCTAGATCAACATGATGTAACCATTAATACGCGACGTGGTTTGGAAATTCAAGGCAAGTGGGTGGAATGTTATGTGGATCGCAAACAGGATCAAGTTTCAAGGTTACATGTTGATGAGACCATCACCATACCCCCTTCTTCTGAGGCATTGGTAATTGGAAAAAGTGAAAATCCTGAGTTGATTGACACCTGTTTTTCTGCAATAGAACCAGTGTTTGAAGATTCACAAGAGGTAATTGTGGCCCGCTGTCTAGTCAACCCTTTCAGGTCAAAGATTCCAGTGAGAGTTGTTAACACCTCCAAATTTCCTATAAAACTGAAGAAAAACCAACTTTTAGGAGAATTACATCCAGTTCAAGAATGTACCGAGATCCTAGATTCTTGTGGATACCCCTTAATGCCTGATATGGTGAAGCATAAGTGCAATAAATTGCATGAGCTGACAGTGGATGGCAATAGTGAACACCCAAGAATTCCAACTGACTGGAATGATACGGGAAATACAGTGCTACGGTTGCTGCGGAGCAAGGCCGATGTTCCTCAGCTGCCCGAGTATTTGAAAGACTTGTATGAAAAAAGTTGTGGGAATATTCATTGCAGTGAAGACAAGATCAAACTGGCACAGATACTGTAAACTAACAAGGACGCTTTCGCTCAAAACAAAACAGATGTTGGTACCTGTTCTGTCATTACTCATAAGATAGATACGGCAGGATCAGCTCCCATCAGACAACCACTTAGAAGGACTCCTCAAGGATTTGAGGCAGAGGAAGAAACCTACTTAAAAGAACAGCTACGTAATGGAATTATTAAACCTTCCAAATCTGCTTGGGCCTCACCAGTGGTATTAGTTCGCAAAAAAGATGGAACAGTCCGCTGGTGCATTGACTACAGAAAACTCAATGACTGCACCCGTAAAGATGCCTATCCTCTACCACGTATTGACATGTGTCTAGATTGTCTAGCAGGTGCCTCAATCTTTTCTACAATGGACCTACAAAGTGGATATTGGCAGATTGTCCTGGAGGAAAAAGACAGAGAAAAATCAGCTTTTATCACGAAATACGGACTCTTTGAATATACAAAGATGCCTTTTGGTCTATGTTCAGCACCAAGTACTTTCCAAAGATGCATGGAATTAATCTTCAGAGGAATGCAGTGGAAACACCTATTGATATATCTGGATGACATCATTATCTTTAGCCAGAATATGGAAGATCATTTTAAACAGTTGAATGAGGTTCTTCAAAGACTCCAAGCTGCAGGTCTTAAACTAAAACCTTCGAAGTGCGAACTTTTCCAGTCAGAAGTACTATACCTAGGACATATTGTCGGGAAAGAGGGCATTAAACCAAACCCCAAGATTACGGAATCCATTAAAAATTGGAAGACTCCACAAAATGTGAAACAAATACAACAGTTTCTTGGACTCTGCAATTATTACCGACAGTTCATATACAAATTCAGTGATATAGCAGCACCACTCAGCAGCTTGACACAGAAGGACAAGAAATTCATTTGGTCGCCAGAATGTGAAGAAGCCTTCCATACTCTGAAAGCAGCATTATGTGATGCTCCAGTATTATCATACCCATCTTCTACGGAAACTTTTGTATTAGACACAGATGCTTTGGATAATGGGATTGGAGCAGTACTGTCGCAAATGAAAGAAGGCAAAGAAAAAGTTATAGCATATGCCTCAAAGAAACTCGATAAACATCAAAAATGCTATAATGTAACACGACGAGAGTTACTAGCAGTGGTTACCTTCATCAACCAGTTTCGACATTATTTACTTGGAAGGAAGTTTCTCCTGAGAACTGACCATAGTTCTTTGAGATGGATTTTCAACTTTAAGGACCCCCAAGGACAATTAGCTCGCTGGTTGGAGGTTTTATCACAGTATCACTTTAAAATAGAACATCGAGAAGGCAAGAAACACCTGAATGCAGATTCGTTGTCTCGACTTCCAGAAAAATGCTCTCATGATGACACAGAACCACAGTGTATGGAATGTCAAAACTCGAATGAACAATGGCAGGACTTCAAGGAAAACATTGATAATGTGACTGACCTCAGCAAAAATGGAAATTCTCTCAGTACAAGAGTTATCAATCTGAACCAAACGTGCAACTGGATGCAGCAATTTACACCAACAGAAATGATAGACTTTCAGAAACAAGATTCAGATCTAAAGATTCTTCATCAGTGGTTAGAACAAAAGAAACTACCATCTCGGGATGAAGTATCTCAATTTAGCCCAGCTGTTCGGAACTTTTGGCTGAACTGGAGATCTATTACTGCGCAGGAAGGAATTCTTTACAGAAAATTAGTTGTTACAGATCAAAGAGAGGTTCAACAACTCTTAGTTCCAAGAGTGCTAAGGCAAAGTATCCTTCAAATGTGCCATGATGACCTATTCTCCGCCCACCAAGGTGTAAAAAAAAACAATTCAGAAAGTACAGAACTATTTCTACTGGTACAGGATGGGAGAGGACATAAAAAGCCATGTTAGACAATGTCCAGCTTGTAGTAGATGGAAGAAACTCAACAAGACCCCAAGGGCAAAATTATGTGATTATCGCGTTGGCTATCCCTTCGATAGGATAGGCATAGATGTGATAGGACCTTTACCCAGATCGAAAAAACAGAACAAATTCATACTCGTTATAGGAGACCACTTCACGAGATGGATGGAAGCTTACCCTATTCCAAACCAAAATGCAGAAACTGTTGCCTCAAAATTAGTACATGAATTTATTGTACGCTATGGAACTCCATTGGAAATCCATACGGATCAAGGATCTAATTTCGAAAGTGATCTGTTTAAAGAAGTCTGTTCCCTTCTCCAAATCAAAAAGACTAGATCAACCCCATACAGACCCAGTTCTAATGGCCTGATTGAAAGGTTCAATCAAACTTTAGGGAAGATGATTAAAAGCTTTATCGAAACTAACATTCATGAATGGGATAAATATCTCAGCATTCTGATGGCAGCATACAGAAGCACACCTCATCCAAGTACTGGATATTCCCCAAAGATGCTAATGTTTGGTAGGGAGGTCAATACTCCGATCGGTATCCTATATCCCTTGCCTAATGACCATGACAAAAACACCGCCGACCAGTATGCTGAAAACCTGAGAGAGAAGATGGAGCAACTTTATCACGTAGCCCGGAAAAATTTACAAAGTCAAGCAGAGAGGCAAAAGAGAGACTATGACACTCGCATCAGTGAGAATACCATGCCCATAGGAAGCCTTGTGTATAAATTGAAACCAAATCACAAGAAATTTGAATCCCCATGGGCCGGCCCCTATCTGATAACGGAAAAATTTGGTCCAGTGGTTTACAAAATAAGAAATAAACATAAAACAGAGGTCATACATCATGACAGACTTAAGCCGTTTGTGTGCGCTGAAACGCCCAGCTGGGTTGAAAAGGTAAAAGATGAAATGAAGTAAATAAGCTACATATCCACTATGACTATGTGTGAGGATTTTTTTTTATGTAGTTTATGATGTTTGTACACTACGAATGTAGATTTTTCTTTAAAAATACTTTTTTATCCTACAATGATATTTGAGCTAGAGTCTAGCTGTCACATAACATGAGATAGATTTTGTATATATGTTTTTGTTCACATTTCGAGGACGAAATGTAGTCCAAGCGGGGGAAAGTGTGATAAATGTGAAATGTTAATTGCGTTGTCATGTTTACAATGTGCGATATTTCTTGTCTCATACTTTGTTGTGACATGTCGAGGAAATTCGAACTGGTATTGATGCATGATTACTGTATAAATGCATATTACGTTTATTAATTTCGATGTTAATCATATTCGTTTTTTACATACTTAATTACCTCTATTCATATGATTACGTCTATTATTGTGGAAAACTGCAACTTGTATCCAAAACTGTGAAGAAAGGTGTTTTGACTTTACCGGGAAATCACATGTTTTTATACTGCAATCCCGATCCCGATCTAACATGATTTGTATAAAGAATTTCGTATTTATCCTGTACTTTGACTCGAGTACTGTTTTCTTGTAGTAATGTTATGTATTTAAAATAAATATTATCGTATTTTTATTACCGTTTTAATGATACAAGTTGTGTATTGTAAATATGTAGGTATTGCTATGACCTAGTTACCTAGATACGTTTGTATAACATACGGGTTCTTGTGCTAGATAGAGAGAGGTACGGCAGCCGTTAAGGGTGACAATCTATTATTGTTGAAAGGTATTTCTTATTATTGTAATATTGTATAAAGGATTTTTAACGAATGTTATAGTGAACAGTGAAATAGTGAAATTTTTATTACATTGTTCAATATTTTTTAAAGGAAAATATCTAAATTTAAACCTGAAAATATTATATTTCATATTTTATGTTCTAAATAAATAGTTCATATTAATTGATATAATATTTGTGTCTTTTCTAACGTTTTTGAATTTAAATAACAAATTCAGCAAACGCAATAACCCCTACCTCCTCTAGTAACAAATTGTCCAGATCATGGGCAGCTTTTACCGACTCCACCAGCCAGCTCTCTGGGGGGTTGACCCCCATGGTCAGAATTGATTTCTGGGGGAGATCTGTGAATTTGGCCACTGGACCAGAGGTCAAACTTCCATCAGGCTTAAAGGCCAAGTCTGGTTCCAGTACATAACGATAGTAACTGTGAAATGAATAATGAAATGGCTGTAACATGTGTAAAATGTTAATTAAAAGAACACATTGTAAGAGAGATAACTCCCAAACTACTGAATTAAATCTTGATTCAACAGGAAAATTGACATATTGTGTATATGTTCATGTACAGAATAATCTTAAAGTATTATAGAAATTGAAAAGTTGGGTATGCACTATTTTAATAAATACCCACGTTTTTACAGGCATCTCAGAAATTTTATCTCTACAGTTCATGTAAATTTTCACATCAACATTAGCCACTTCTCTCAGCACCTACAATTTTGATGAAATAATTAAATATTTATAAAAAAAATGTATATAAGTTAAATTCAACTTTGTCAGCAAAATACAATCCAGTGATAAAAACAGTCTGTGAGATTCAGATTTTTTTTTTGTTATTAAAACTGACCTTGATCATAGGTGTAATCTTTTGAGCTTCCTGTGACACAGGGTCAAGGACAGCCTCAATTTGATAAGCCGGTGAGTCTGGATTGGCAGGTAGCTTTACTGCACTGTAAGAAGAAAAGAACAAGTCTAGTATCTTATAGGATGTATTACTACTTCTTTAAAGAAGTGTAATGAAATTGCTTTGATCTACTCTCCATTTTTCAGGTAATAGAAGATTTTTAGGAATCATTACAATTCATGGTTCTCTCACCTATGCTGATCCCTCAGGCCAGATAAGTCCTTTCTCTCTGTGTTGGAGGTTTTAGATGAAAGCAGTGAGGAAATTTTCATGATAAGTTCACTTCCTCTGTTAAACAAAACAAAATACTATAATAAATTGACCCCCATATCAAAATTTAACCAAAAAAAAAAATACATGTCCTTGATTTCAGGAGATAGCTTGTGCAACCCTAAGAATTTGATATCAAATTAATTGTGATCAATAAATATCATTTATAGAATTGATTTTCCTAATTTTCACTCTTCAGCAAAATTTAATTCATCCATGCATGGTAGAAATAGAAAACAATAAAATTACCAAAACTGAGATCAGTTACCCCTGAAAGGCTGAACCATTAACTCAACCATCTTTAACTCATTTCCATCCACCCAACACCACCATCCCCCTCTCTTTTTCTCTAAAACAATGCCCTGCCCCCTTCCCTTTAATTTTTTCACCAGCAACTCTCACCTGTTGCCATCAATTTTCATCAGCATCATCTGAGTCTTGATACTCCTAGCCACATTCTGATATTCCACTTTAGTCAGCAAGTCCACATCCTCTGAGGTAAAACTCTCGGCTTCATCTAAAGGTCCACACACCTGAAAAAAATTACAATGCCAACTCTACCATTTTTGGTAATACATGTAATAATATTATATGTAAATGCATGTATTTAGATTCTGTCCAACTTGGATACAATATGTAGATTGATTCCACCCCATTCACATTTCTGAGCCTTTATATATTATACAGTAACAATATTTTGCAAAGTAATGAAAAAATTTAACTTTTACAATTTTTAATTTTAAATGAAAAATCCTTTTTTAAGCTCATGGGTATAAACTACATATATATTAGATTACAAAGTAAAAGATTACAAACCCATTACTATACTCTTCGAATATAGAATACGAAATTTGCCAATTTAAAATTCAGTTACCTACAAATACAAATATTTATAAATGAAAATAAAATAGTTTACCTTTCCATTTGCAATGAGTCCTCTATCACTTTCCCCCCAGCCAAGAACTGTTCTGACAAAGATGCTATGATGGTTCAGGAAGTCTGTGGTTTGTTTCTCTAGAGCCTTCATATAGGCATCCATATCCATTCCCTAAATAAATAAAAAAAATCATCCATCTTTCATAATTCATGCCAAAAACGATGCATTCACTTCATCATGGGTGAAACAGGGACTTTTTCTGATCAATAGGTAATGAAAATAGGGGGAATATATGATTGCATTTAATTACATGGACTTCCAGATCTTGTATTTTCTTGACTCCAAATTTGAGGTCAGCGACATTTTCCTCCTTGATGAGTTTGGTGATGAGACTTTTGGCGTGGTTATTCCCCAGGGTCTGTAGAGCGGTGTACACGGCCTTACTGATGGACAGGTCACTACTCAGGACAGAGTCATGGTTAAAGACCAGGCCCAGTCTCATGTCATAGGAATGTTTCTGTAACAAAAGAAAAATACTGCTGATAGAGTAATTATTTGCTTGTTCTGAAGTAAACACTTTGAAAAAACTCACAATGAGTTATTTTTTAACATTTTTGAAATACTGTACATGTAATAATACACATTTATTGACCGAGTTCAAGGGCAATATGAATTTGTCAGACCCAAGAACCTAACTGTCTGCCTGAGGCTGTTTTGCTGAAGGCAGACAGTTTGGTTTGAGGGTGGACAAAACACATTTTGCCTGAGAACTCGGTCTGCTGTCAATAAATGTTTTGTTATATATCTGTCATTTTAATATTTCATTTTTTGACATAAATCTTCCATGATGTAGCCTCAAGTCCGTCACTGTTGAACACCAAGGAATGAAAATGAGATTAAGCTCTGCCCGTTCTGTGATGTAAGCGGTCTAACATCTCATTGACCAGTCCAACATCTCACTCAGAGGCCAAAAATCAATTTTTTATGCCTACTCAGGGGGGTGCATGATTTGAAAACTTAGAATCCACTTGCACCACACTTTTTCAGGAAGTTTTACCTTTTCTTGTCCAGTGGTTCTTCAGTGGTTCTTTGATTCAGAATATTAAAAAAAAAATTCCTTTTATTTTCAATGAATTACAATAAAGTGCATTGAAGTGGTAAAATTCCATTTGAATGAAATGTTTTGAGCCGTCTTTAGAATGTATATCATCATATAAGGACATACCTATTTCTTTAGAAAGGAAAACAACAGTCAAATATTTACATTTCCAATATCTTTGTTCAAGATAAAATTACAAATAGTTAATGTACTTTATTTCTCCATCAATGTACCAGTTCATCGATTGCTGCGGTTAAAAAAAATCATGTGCAAGGCGGGACGAATAGAGTTAAGAAGCAGGGCTTCTAGCACATGGATTGGCGGAATCAATACCATGTATTAATACAAGGAATAACCGTCAGAATTTTCGATTTGAACATCATGATGATCAATTAATTGGCTTGCATGATAATTTTATGCATAAATGCCTTCGGCATTTATTTATTTAAATTATCATGCAAGCCAATCGATTGATCACATCATGAAATTGAAAAATAAGAGTTATTCCCTAAAAAGTTTATTTGAATATCTGTAGCACAGGTATTCCAAAAACATAATAGCCAAATCGACAGTCTACATTTATTTATTAACACAGAATGTTTATGTGACAGTGTTTGACCAATACATGTGTTTGGGTCATCATTTCGTAAGTTTTATTGTTTATACAATGAGCTTGTCAGCAAAATGAATACAATTCATCATTTATTCAAATGCTGACTGACTAGCTTTTTTCATATTGATTGTTAGGCCATTATTTACACAGTGAGTTGTCCACATATTTTTTCCATTATTTCCCAATCATGACAAGAATTAGCACACAGCGGGTGTGACCAGTTGGCAGGGGATGCTCACTCTTCCATGGCACCTGATTCCACCTCTGATGTTATTGAAGGTTCATTGTTTGCTCCAGTCTTATTTCGTAATGTTAAATGGACTTTTGAGCTGGAATACTGTTTGTTATCTACACATAGTAAACATGATAATTCATAATCATGTGCATATTCTTTGCATATATGTTTTGCAGAGGCTGGTCCGCTAACTCTCTTTTCTAACATCTCCATTTTGCTAATAATGCATTACAATGAATATTTCTTTCTTGTAACTAAAGAAATGGGTATGTCATTATGTAGCTATTAAAGTTAAATAAGAAGCACCCAAACTTTCCACTCAAATGAGAAAAAAAATTCCACTTCAATTCATTTTATCATCCCATTCAAATATGTTTGCCACTAATAGTATTTATTAATTTCAACAGACTAAGTGATATACATGTACATTTATTTTTGAATATTTTAACAATAAGATGAGGACAGTAGACTATACATGTATAATGCTTTGCAGAGTAGATAACAATAGGGTGGACTGGTTAGAGAATTATACCGTTTGATCCTTCCACGAATTTTCTTTTTTTTTCGTTTGAAAAAAAGTTGGATGCAAAAATTGGCAAGCATTCAAGTTACCTATGCCACTGTGATATATTATATTGATTAAACAAAAATGCACAACAAGAATGACTTCTGCAAACATGTCGTAAATTTCTAACTCAATAAACAAGAGGCCCAGGGGCCACATCGCTCACCTGAGCAATTGGCTAGGGAAAAAGCACATATCAGATCGGAACTGAAAGCTTACTGAGGTTGGGGGGGGGGGGGGGGCTTGAATTTTAACCCCAAGGGGGTCATGATTTGAACAAACTTGAATCTACACTACCTGAGGTTGATTCCCGATAAATATCACTAAGCATGGCTTTGAAGTACTTGAAAAGAAGATTTTTAAAGGTTTCCCTATATATTCCTATGTAAAACTTTGATCGGCCATTATGGCCCCACCATATCCCCGGGGGTCATGATTTGAACAAACTTGAATCTACACTACCTGAGGATGAATCCACATGAGTTTCATCTTTCCTGGCCCAGCGGTTCTTGAGAAGAAGATTTTTAAAGATTTTTCCTATATATTCCTATGTAAAACTTTGATTGGCCATTTTGGCCCCACCCTACCCCTTGGGGTCATGATTTGAACAAACTTGAATCTACACTACCTGAGGATGAATCCACATGAGTTTCATCTTTCCTGGCCCAGTGGGTCTTGAGAAGAAGATTTTTAAAGATTTTTCCTATATATTTCTATGTAAAACTTTGATCGGCCATTTTGGCCCAACCCTACCCCTGGGGGTCATGATTTGAACAAACTTGAATCTACACTACCTGAGGATGAATCAACATGAGTTTCATCTTTCCTGGCCCAGTGGGTCTTGAGAAGAAGATTTTTAAAGATTTTTCCTATATATTTCTATGTAAAACTTTGATCGGCCATTTTGGCCCCACCCTACCCCCGGGGGTCATGAATTGAACAAACTTGAATCTACACTACCTGAGGATGAATCCACATGAGTTTCATCTTTCCTGGCCCAGCGGTTCTTGAGAAGAAGATTTTTAAAGAATTTTCCTATATATTTCTATGTAAAACTTTGATCGGCCATTTTGGCCCCACCCTAGCCCCTGGGGTCATGATCTGAACAAACTTGAATCTACACTACCTGAGGATGATTCCACATGAGTTTCATCTTTCCTGGCCCAGTGGGTCTTGAAAAGAAGATTTTTAAAGATTTTTCCTATATATTCCTATGTAAAACTTTGATTGGCCATTTTGGCCCCACCCTACCCCCGGGGGTCATGATTTGAACAATCTTGAATCTACACTACCTGAGGATGATTCCACATGAGTTTCATCTTTCCTGGCCCAATAGTTCTTGAGAAGAAGATTTTTCAAAAATGCCATTAATTTTTCTCTAATTCATAATTATCTCCCCTTGGAAAAGGGCGTGGCCCTTCATTTGTACAAACTTGAATCCCCTTTACCCAAGGATACTTTGTAGCAAGTTTGGTTGAAACTGGCCCAGTGTTTCTTGAGAAGAGGATGAAAATGTGAAAAGTTTACAACAACGACGACGACAACAGACAACTGACAAATTTTGATCAGAAAAGCTCACTTGAGCCTTTGGCTCAGGTGAGCTAAAAATGAAATAAAGATCAGGCCCACCATATTGTGACCAGTGAATAAGAGTAACAACCAAAACACCTAACATCCAATCAAAATTTACTTCCTTTTTTGGAATATATATAAGGAGAAGGACAGCTAAAGTAACTTTATTCTGTCACCGAACCTTCAGAGGGTATTATCTGCATAATCATAAGGTAATTATATGATTTATTAAGTTTTTACTATTTTAACCTCATTTGATTATATACTAATCTTGTAATAAGGAAACATTTGTTAGTTTGAAATCAAGTGAAGTCTGAAATGACAAAAGAACAAAATAAATGAATTTTTTTATTGTCCTACTAATTCTCATATCAACAGTTAAAAAAATTCATTTTCTTGCCTGTATATAATACAAACAAATTTTATTTCTTAAAAATAGGTTGTCCTAGCAAAATAAAGTGGCACTGCATAGGAGTATGCAGTAGCCTTTAATAAGGCTAACTAACCAGGAATTCTTATCTTTAGCATTTCTACACTGTGAGGAGAGTCTGCCAATTAACATTTGGAATAGTTCCAAAACAGGGTACTGTACCTTTAAAAAACAGAAAGTTGGAGCTTTTTTCATGGAAATGAAATAAAAAGTTGTCGCAATATAATGGATACAACAGAGATTTTCAGAGATAAGAAAAGAGAAATTGAAAATGAAATCCTGGAAATTGAGTCCATCACTATTCCAAGGTATAGGAAGAAATTCAACGAAACAAAAAGAAAACTATCTGGAACATATGCCAAATATGATGCGCTGGAAATAGACGCAGAAGAACAGAGAAACTTCTGGCATCAAGAAGTAGACGTAATCTTCAATAAACTAAATTTTCTGGTCAAATACCTGAAACAAAATCACCTGGCTGAACTAAACTCATTCAAGCTCAAACTGAAAAATCTTATTCAGGAAATGGAAAACACAACAGAACAATTTAAAGAGATCTTGAGAAGAAACAATTCATCTGAAGTCACTGACCATGTTTCCAAAATACAGGATTACAGAGGCATGCCAACTGATAAAACAGATGATTTCAAAATTCCTTCCCTCAAATTAAACAAAATAGTGGAGAAAGAATTAAGAATAGAATTATTAGATTACAACGCAACCCTGACACAAACATCAGTACATGCTTTGATAGATGGGGCATCCAGCTACACACATACAGAAGAGCTACTAAGGGAAGCCAGGGTGATTGCCACCATTCCTACTGGGCTTGAAACTCTATGGCATCTGGCATGTATTGGGGCAGATGAGGCATGGGTTTCTGGTTGGTACGTATCCATAAGCCGTATAAGCAAAATACACCCAAATACCGATGACGATGTCTTTACAGTGTGTCGTCTCTTTCCTACTGGCCTCTCCTCGACTAAAGAGGGTGAACTGATGTACAGTGATTGGCACAGCAGGAGTATTTATGTAGTCAGAAATGAGAAAACCGAGAAACTGATTACTGTACCAACAGGATGGTTTCCAGATAGACTCTGCTGCACAAGGTCAGGAGACATCCTAGTCTCACTGAGCAAAAAGGACCACAAAAAACCCCAAAAAGTAATATGTTACCAAGGGCAGAGAGTAAAATTGGAAGTAGAAAAAGATGAGCATGGAGACCTAATCTTTGCTGCAGGATCGAATTCACTCTATGTGGCAGGGAACAATAATGGAGACATTTGCGTTTCTGATGCTAATGCTCAAAGAGTCATCGTTTTAGACAAGACAGGCAGGAGAGTTCGATTTATATACGATGGCTCACCAGTCACGTCGCGTACATTGTCATTTGGTCCGCATCATATAGTCACAGATTCCCTGAGTCAGATCATCGTGGCTGAACCAGGTGTTGGCTGCATTCACATCATTGATCAGAATGGATATTTCCTGAGATTTGTGGAAAAGACCAATCTATCATATATTAATGGATTAAGTATAGACAGTAAGAAAAGGTTGTGGATAGCAAATGGGGAAACAAAGGAAGTGATGATCTTTCAGTATTTAAACTAACTAGAAGTTAAAGAGCCCCATCTGGGCACAAAATCAAATGCGAATCAGATACACTCCAAAATGAAACTTGATGTTGACGTGTCAAGTTTCCTTACAATGAACATTGCAATAACCATTGATGACAGGTAAGATCTAAAAACATTTGCTAAAAGATATGGGGAAAAACTCAACAACAAGAATTCAAACAATTGTAACGTTACCCGATCTTGGGCATTACAAAAATTATGTGGGTCCTCTTATTCCTGAGATTTACCTTAATAATTAACAAGATTTGTTTACCTTTAAGAATAGATTTATTCAAACAATAAAAATAACAATTTATGAGTAATAAAATACAATCAAAGTACAATTATTGGCAAAGGGTCAGGACATACAATACTTAGCTGATTGGGTCACCCAATATTGACAATGGGTCAGTACGTTGGGTAATCAGCTGATTCAGCTTGGGTTAGGGTATGTAATTATGAGTCAGCTAATTGGGTTCCCAATATCAACAATGGGTTAGTACGTTCAGCTGATTCAGGTTGGGTTACCCACAAATTAATATTGGGTAAAGACAAACAATAATCTATTGATTAGGTCACTCAAGGATTGGTATTGGGTCAATTTATCCAATATGGGGGGCATCAGATTTTACCCAATTATGGGGAGTTGGGATTCTCAGAGTTGGTCAGATGTTAATGGGACTGACCAACCCCCCAGACTGAAGAAAAAGTCTTAAGTGCCTTCTTTATATACCTTCTCATACATCGGTGCAAATTAGTTCACGCGCGAATAACAAGCGGTACCGCCAGTATTCGTGCAACGTTTGTAGGTATCATAACAGTATTACACTTTGGTTTGGTTCACGTCAAATCATGGCTGACGCAAAATAATGCTGGAATCTTCCCTTCCGATTCGGGCATTTTGATACGAGACTGGAGCTGGATTTTTTTATGAGATGAAAAACAACATGTAAACTTCCTGTATTGACCAGATTTATTAAAATTTAGGGCGTGCTGATTTTTCTGTACTGTCAAGAGTGGGGAGTGATTAGGCCCTGGACTAGATTTTCAAGCACCTGCTCGACTTCGACCGAAACAAACTTGCGTGCCTTGCTGGATGGCTATGTATTTTTTGGTACTAAAATCTTTATAAAGAATGGTTTTACAAGATCTGAAAAGGAAACTTCTCAGAAGTTTGTTTTGAATAAGTTACATCTACTCAAACTTGTGCATTTTTGGTAAGAATATATAGCAGAACTTAATACTGTTGTGACACCTGCATGGTAACACCAACAACTTCTGCATCTAGTGGCTTTATCATTACAAATGCGGGAAAAGGGGAGATCTGTTGTTTGGAAATTGTTTTGGTAACGATGTCAAGTTGGATTTGGGTACCTTGATTGAATAACAATGCCAGACAGCCATTTGCTATTACGATTGGGCTGATATATGAAGGAATTTCGGGTTTGTACATTATAACGAAACGATATTCATGAAATAAACATATACAATGAATTAAAAAGCATACATTAATGACATACGATGATAGGTAATATTCCCATGATATCTACAAATAAATTTACAATACCTAGATTAAATATTCAGGACATAAATTGGGTTGATCCAATATGTGGGTTATTTTGGTCATGGGGAAAATCCGTAACACAATGGAATGTACATATTTAGAATTTATTATTTGAAGTCCATTTAAAATACTTATTTGTTTTTTGTTGTTTTTTTTTTCAAGTCAAAATCTTCAAGGAAAATAATAAATTGAAAATCATTCCTCTAACAGATATGTACATTGTAAATTAATATATGAAATTAATTGTGTTGATTTTAGTACTACTTAACTAGTATTTAAGATAGAAGCAGAACTCAGTACATATGAAGCAAAGATGCCAAGTGTATTATCCATATTATATGTATATCATTATAGCCCAGGAATCTTGTTACAGTATTATAATCCGTTTGATTTTCAGAATTCTTGTCTAATAAATGTTAACTTTTAGTTCATGTCAATAAATTCTATTTGTAAAAATCCTGTCTAGCCCTGAACATTTTTGAAAGTGAGTGGACATTAAGGTCAAAACTTTTGAATGAGAAGAGATAAGATTTTCATATTTCACATGTACATTACCCATGACAAGACCTTTCCAAATATACTGTTTTTTAACCCTGTGATCTTGATCTTGAAATTTAACCTACTTTTCAAAAAATTTTACATTAATTTGAAATGGTCATAAGTCTTGTCAATGAACAAGATGTGTTTATGAAACACTTTCAGATGCCCCCTATGGCAGCTACTTGTGAGGGTTGAAATTTTTCATTCCATTAATTAAACTCCCAAGATCAAAAGATCATAACTGTTGGTACCTAATGGAATGTCTTCTCACACAGAATACACTTGTGAGATATTAAAGCCCTAATGCTAACAGTTCAAAGGTTATGGTCGAGGTAAAAGTTTTTCTAAAGTAATCAAGGTCAAAATAGTTGGTATCCAACAGAAGATCTTATAACAAGGAATACACCTATGATATATGAAAGCCATAGTACTAACGGCTAAAAAGTAATGGTCATCAAGGTTTTCAAAAGTAGGCCAAACTCTATGGTTAAGGTTAAAAGGTCAAATATTTTATACCCGATGAAATCTCTTGTCATAGTAAATACACATGTGAAGTATGAATGTCTTAGCACTAACTTTTCAATAGTTATGGCTATGGTTAAAGTTCTGAAATTTTTTATTAAAGTGGGTAAATCTCCAAAGTTAAGGGCAAGAGGTCAAATTTAGTTCTACCAAAAGAAATGTCTTGTCACAAGGAATACACCTGTGAAATATGAAAGACATAGCTCCACCCACTCAAAAGTTATGGACAAGGTTCAAGTTTTTGCAGACAAACAGATAAACAGGCAAACTTACAGAGAAATAGACGCGGCAAAAACTGTACCCCTGAATCTTCAATTATGGGGGTATAAAAAAGAAAGGACTTTCCTATTATGCATGAACATTAACTGTCACATTGTGACAAGACCTTTCTGAATACCCATACTGGTTCCTCTCCCTAATCCGTATCTCCTCTTGAAAGAGGGTGTGGATCTTCTTTTGAATTCCTTGAATTCCATTTACACAAAGATGCTTTGTGGCAAGTTTGGTCAAAATTGACCTAGTGGTTCTGGAGAAGAAGATGAAATTATGAAAAGTTACAAATACAACAACGACAGGCTATGTACAAATATCGATTTATCAGAAAAGCTGATTAGATACATGTTGTAATACAGGAGTCTATGGTGTCAAATGTATTTTCTTTGAATGTTTAATTAATAACCTTAAGCATTCTGTTGAAGATTTTCAAAGTATTAACACATTTTCAAAATATTATCAATAGACAACCCCCCTTTCACAGAAATACCAGAACCCTTGATCCTAGTACCACTAAGCATAAAAATTTTGCAAGAAGCAATTCCTTGTTCATCATATTAATGCACATAATTTGTTTTTCTACTTTTAAGGTCTAAACAATAAGGTTCAGACAGGATTAATTTTAATAGAATTAATGTATTTTCACAAGATTATCAACAGAGCCCCCTTCCCTTCATTAGAATCCCCTACTCTGGGACCATAATTTTTGGTATTACCACCCTAACACCAGAACACCTGACCCATAGGTCACATTTTTGGAAGAATATCTTGCTCATCATACATGTAATTATGTGTACACATAGTTAGTTTAATACCTAGGAAACTTTAGAAATCCTATGAGATGGGAGAGTTCGATCATCACCTCACAAAATTGCTTTGGTTTTGATTACTAGTATATTGTCATTTTTGGTACATATAAAGTGGTTGTATACAAAAAGATAATTCTCCATGAGTTCTATATTTTCACCATAAATTTATCTCTTCCACCTAAAAGAATTCCTGCATTACTTATTTCACAAAAAATTTAAAATTATTATAAAAAATTGATTTTTAATTGTCCCTGATAGAGAAGCAAATTTAAAATGTAAATGGAACAGGAGATAAACTTAAAACATTTAATGCTAAATCAAAAGAGAATTTAAAAAGTGTCCCAAAGGTATTTGATAGTGGTAAATGGAATTGGTTGTATAAATGTACAAAGAAGGGTAACTGTTATAAAGTATCTTGTTCTGGAACATTAACTCACCTTTTTAAGTCTTTGTCTGTTTGACCTATTTCAAATCCTACAGGCAATAAACAATCTAACGGTAGCCAAGAAGAATTACTAAACACCGAACCAAAAGTAACTGCCAGTGTGGTGAATTTACAAATAAATCAAATTTGAAACCTGGGACATTATCTATGAAAGGTATGTAATTATGTGTCCGAAAGAAATGGAGTTTTGTTTCCTTTTTTTTTCTAAAAAAAAAGGAAATTTTTTTTTATGCAAAATATATTGAACAACAGAAATATCACTGCAAGACTTTTCCTTATTTTTAGTTTGGAATTCCTACAGAGAAACATACTAATGGCCACTTCCTGGGCACAAGAGGTCATCACCTGTGACCTCTGTGTCAAGCCTACCCGGCAATTTTGTAACACCTGTCAAGTAAACCTTTGTGTGGACTGTATCAGTAAACATGTGGACCAGCTCAGTTCCCAGTCACACGACATTGTTCCATTCAAGAACAGGAAAATACAGCTGGTGTTTCCAGAATGTGAATTTCACCCAAACCAGAGATGTGAAGTCTATTGCCAGAAGTGTGATGTTCCCGTGTGTCTGAAATGCCTGCTTGGTTCCCATAATGGCCATAATATTAAGGATATGCCAGAGAATTTCAATGATAAGAAAAAGGAAATAGAAGAAGAAACCCAGGAAATCGAATCCACTTTAATTCCAATGTACCAGAAAGAAAATTTAGAAACAGAAAGTATACTATTGAATTCAAAGGCAGAATATGATGAGCTTGAGAAAGAGGTAGAAAAACAGAGAAAATTCTGGCAGCATTCTGGCAGCAAGAGGTAGATACCATCTTTGACAAATTTGGTGTATTAATCAACTCCAAGAAAGAGACTCACCTGGCTCCTCTTGAATCTCATCAGTTAAATCTCAATATTCTTCTTCCAAAAATGATTCAAACAGTTGCACAAAACAAAGAAATTCTAAAAACTAACAGGGTATCTGAAGTAGCCAACTACAAATCCAGCCTACAGAAATACAGAGACATGTCTGTCCAACCTACACATATTGATATTAAAGTTCCTTCACTGAAAACAAACAAAACACCAGAGGGAGAACTTAGCACAGAAATAGAGGAACATCAGGTTACACTAACACTAACATCATTATCCAGTCTGAATGCTGAAACATCCTCCTTGTCTGTTAAAGGGATGATGGACAAGGCCAAAGTGGTAGCCACCATTGCTACTGGTAAAGAATCTGTGGAGAAAGTGGCATGTGTGAATAAAGATGAAGCTTGGGTGGATGGCAATGATGGGTCTTTATACTGCATTAATAAGGATGGGTCTGTGAGGGATCTGTCCTAATTGTTGATTCTTTGGGTTTCGGTTTTTCTGCTAGAGACATTTCAGTGACAAATCAGGGAGAACTGATATATAGTGACCCTAGCTCTAGTAGAGGATGTATTTATGTTGTTAAAAATGGAAGGTCAGAAGTACTGATCTCCCCATCAGGGGTTCCAGGTGGACTCTGCTGTACAAGGTCAGGTGACATTCTGGTCTGTCTTACTCAAAGGTATATAGGGTTGAATAAAGAAATTCATTCTAAAAATAAAATTGTTTGTTATCAAGGAAAAACAGTGAAACAAAAAATTGAAAAAGATGAGCATGGAAACCAAATTCTTCAAAATGGATTTCATAGTACCCATTTTGTGGATGAAAACATCAATGGAGACATTTGTGTCTCTGATGTTAATGCTTATATGGTGGTTGTGGTAGGCAAAACAGGAAAAGTTCGATTCAGGTACTATGGTACATCGGCAGGAATGGTAAATCCATTTCAACCTAAACAAATCGTTACAGACTCCATGGGTCAGATCATTGTGGCAGATAATAACAATGCCTGTCTGCACATACTACATCAAAATGGACAGTTCTTGAGATGTGTGGACAATTGTGGATTAGAGAAACCTTGTGGACTGAGTGTGGACAGTGAGGGGAGGTTATGGGTAGGATGTCCTCAGTCAGGAAATGTGAAAGTGATCCAGTACATGAAATAAATGAAGAATGTACTCCAAAGACAATGGAGAGTGACAGAATTCAACCATTAATGATCTTCACAAAAATATAGATGACCCTTGCTATACTGCACATGATAAAGAAAAATATGGGATAGCATAAAATACAAGACACTGAGGTTAACATACATTATACATTAAGAGAAAGTAGTTGGGACTTCCAATTCAATTTGACATATCCAAGGTATTTGAAATATTGCTGTTTGAGATATAAAATTTTAACTGTTTGTCTTTTTTGGCTGCTGCATTAAATTCACATATAAAAGGCATTATGGTTATTCTTTGCTGGCTGTCCACATGCACTACAATTAACTTAAGTACCTTTGAACCTATACACTTTATGCATGTATTTAGTACAATTATTGTATGTGGAGGATGGTTTTCAGGTATATACCAATAGTTAAGAATAACACTTGGTCAACCTACAAACTTCCTATTATAAAAGACAAACTACATGTAGTTGACAAATACAAGGGCTGTCCAAAAAGTTCATGGACAATGACGTTTTTGTTAAAATAAATGGTTCTATATGCATCTATTGTATATCAAAATATTTCTCATGAAAAAATAAGTCAGAATGATTTAATTTTTATTGATGAAACTTCATATTTTTGTAAAAATCAGGGTCTTTAAAGATAGCAGATTGTGCGCAGGGACCTGAGTCTGACGTTACGCTAATTTCATTAAAACGTCAAACATTTGGATTTTGACTTAACACATGTTCATGGACACACACTACATTTCTTTTTTAGGGCGCAATGCACTTCGAAGTGCTAGCAATAATCTTTAAGTATAGATTATAATTTATTTAATTTTCAAAATTCAAAACAATGCACATTTTATGAGCGTCATCTAAATTAACAGTTTGTATACCCAAACTGAACAGCCCAGTCCGACGCTGCGCTAGATTTATAACAACGTCATGAATAGAAATCTCCATTTACAGTTAATTACATGTGTTTTTAAATTCTTGTAGTGTCTTCGAATTTGTACACAATGTTGAAAAATCGTACATACGAATCCCGAATCGATACATTCAATATATTTCAATAATTTTGAGTTGTTTTAACAAATATTTTGTCTCTTACATCGTTTCAACCGTTTTAAAACTTAATTTTTTGACCGGAAGCTGACCCGTGCCGACGGGCGACGTCAGTTTTTCTGTTGAGTTTTGACACGTACTTGCTAAGGTTTTCTTTGTGTATTTTCATTGTCTATATAGTGAGCGATATTTAAGATATCATGAAATGATAATAACCTCATAATTTGTGTTACATAAAATTTATATTAATTTTTGACTTGTTTTATACAGAAAATAATCATTTTAATCCAAACTCTTTATATCAGAGTTTACATCATTTTAACCTTGGTCCGTGTGCACTATCCGCAACCTCTAAAGACCCCGATTTTTACAAAAATATTATGTTCCATCAAAAAAAACTAAATCATTCTGACTTGTTTTTTCACAAGAAATATTTTGATATACAACAGATTTATATAGAACCATTTATTTTCACAAAAACGTCATTGTCCACGAACTTATTGGACAACCCTCGTAGTTTAGGAGACACATGTAAATTTTAAATTAGACTGGTCAAGAATCAGGATTACTTATATAACCTTTACTTGTAACTTGGATGTTTAAATAGTTTGCTCAATAATCATTGTAGTAATACCTTTGAAAAATATACTTTTAATATTGAAAATGCTCCAAGGATTTGTGCATCCAAGTTAAATCTGTGTAATTGATTAAGTTATACTTACCAAATGAAATGATGTCTTAATTTCAATCCTTTATTTTTTATAGTACAGGTGAATATAAATTATTAAAAGTAACGGTTTGTACGACGGCGTATTCGTGCCATTTTAACAATGTAGAATTTTTTTTAAATCGTTTGTACGATTTATTAAATCGTTTGTACGATTTATTAAATCGTTTGTACGATTTAATAAATCGTTTGTACGATTTATTAAATCGTTTGTACGATTTATAAAATCGTTTGTACAATTTAATAAATTGTTGGTACAATTTAATAAATCGTTTGTACAATTTGTTTGTTAAATCGTTTGTACAATTTATTAAATCGTACAAATGATTTCTTAAATTGTACAAACGATTTCTTAAATTGTACAAACGATTTACTAAATTGTACAAACAATTTATTAAATCGTACAAACGACTTATTAAATTGTACAAACGATTTATTAAATCGTACTAGCGATTTATTAAATTGTAAAAACGATTTATTAAATCGTACAAATGATTTATTAAATCGTACAAACGATTTATTAAATTGTACAAACGATTTATTAAATCGTACAAACGATTTAATAAATCGTACAAACGATTTAATAAATCGTACAAACGATTTAATAAATCGTACAAACGATTTAATAAATCGTACAAACGATTTAATAAATCGTACAAACGATTTAATAAATCGTACAAACGATTTAAAAAAAAAAATTCTACATTCTTAAAATGGCACGAATACTCCGTCGTAGGTTTGTTATAACATTTATGTTTACCATGACTGTTGAGCAAATTAGTTTTTCCAAATTACATGTCAAGGTCACCACGAATTTATTTCTTCCAAGGAAAAGAATGTCTGCATAACAAATTCCACTTATCCACTCAAAATTATTATTTGAAAAATTAAACTGACCTTAAAACCAGAAGTCTCTGTCGAGACTGTAGCTCTGTTTGTACTTAAAACAGAGGAAGAGAAAAGTAGCATTTTAAAGTATATCAAAGAAATTTCTATTTTTAGTAACCACGGCAACAACGTTCATCGAAATCAAAAAATAGTTCATAGAATTATGTATCTTAGTGTAGTCTACATTTGTGCCAAGTTGTGTTGAAATCAAATCAAAACTGCAGGAGGAGTAGTATTTTAAAAGTATTTCACAGAAATTTCTATATTTAGTAACAATGGCAACATTGTTCATCGAAATCAAAAACCGATATATAGAATTATGTATCTTAATTAGTGTAGTTTACTTGTGTGCCAAGTTATATTGAAATCAGACCAAAACTGTAGGAGGAGTAGCATTTTGAAAAATTGTTTACAGACAGACAGCTAGACAGACAGATGGACAGCTAGACGGATGCCAGAGGCATTACTATCGCATAAGCTCTTCTTGTCTCTGACCAGTAGAGCTAAAAATAGACAATGCATCAAAAATGTAAATGGAATGGGGAATAAACTTAAAAATAAATCTGATTCACAAGATCATATACGAGGGTTGTCCGTAAAGTCTGTGGACAAGCTAAAAATTTAATATAAGTTGTGTCATTGATATTCATTATTGGCATATTTCTAATCCTTTACTAAATGTGAATTGTTAAATATCAAATTTTAATCAATTGCAAATGTTTAATTATAATTATGGCTTCATAATTAGACTTGGAATGGAGACCCAGAGACCGCAAAAATTTTA